ATAAGATGTAAGTACAACTCCTCCGGTTTCATATGCAAAAAATTTATTGCGCTAGCTTACGCGGTTGCAGTGCTACCAGGATTTAAAAGTAGTTGCACAAAACAGAGCGTGCCTGCTCTGACCGGTTTTAAAGGGTTAAAAGGCAGGTTTTTTTGTTTTGTTTTTTTGATTTTTAATTTTTGTGCAATTCCGTATGAATCCCTGGTTCCATCCCAGGAGGAGATACAAATCCCTTTGGGATTGAGTCAGGAAGGGCATTGGGTGTAAATAATCTGCCAAATCAAACATGCGGAGCTACCTGCTGTGGCAGCCCCTTGTGAATAGGGGAGCAGCCAGAAGTAGTTAACTGCTTTTATTGTAACAGTGACAAAAATAGTCTTAAAATGCTAATAAATAAAAATAATAATCAATCAAGCCAATAAAACTGTAGTAAAACAGTTAAAAATCTAACATCAGAGCATTAAAATTTTAGGACCTGGTGCAGATTTTGCATGCCTTTTGCTGAAAATAGCTGATAGACAGCTGCTTTAAGAGAATAATGATTTTTTTCTCCTACATCCATGTTCTGATCAGGGAAGTGATGTGTGAAAGCAGGTAATTTCACCCCATTAGTGTCTGATTAAATAAAAGATTGTTACATCAGTGCTCGCATTTCTAATTCCTTTCTGAAAACTGCTGATTGAAAACAGCAGGTTTCATTTTGCAGGGTTTTGAACGATGCTGTAGGTGGACAATCCAGACTTTTCGCCAGCTGTAACCACCAGATATTTTTACAGTCCAAGACTCGATACTGCTTCTTATTGTGGCGGGGGATGTGTATAATTTATTTGTATGGTAGAGAGTTTTATTTTCCTAGATTTTATTAACACAGATCAGTTGCATCAGTCGTGTCAGCTGAGTTGAGAAAAAGCGAATCCACACAAAAGTATGTTTTTAACTTGTTTGGATTTTTCCCTGTTTTAAACAATCATTGGTCAAATGTGAGTCAAGGTGAAGCCTCTTGACTGATCCAGGTATCCTTTTATTCTTAGTTCGTTGCATCACAGATAAAATGTTTGTGTCTGATTTTTTCTGACTAGCAGAAGTTCTAATCTTTTGCTGTCTGACTAATGCTGCTTTCTTGCTTTTTCTCTCCCCTTCTATCTTTTTCGTCAATAATGTAATCTTTCCCTAAATTTGTCATTTTCTTCACTTTTTCCTCCACTGATACCTCGGTATTTTCTCCTTTGATCCCATTTTGTTTTACCATCTCTCCATTTGTCTTCTTCTTCTTCTTTTGCTCAAATGTCGCCTAATGCCCTTTTCTTTTTCACATCATTGCTGCATCTCTCTTTTTTACTTGATGGATCCTCAAATTGGCAACTTACATTTCCAAACCTGGCCCTGCAATTTTCCTACCGTTACTCTCTTTACTGTCATTCTTTCTTTCCTCGTCTTCGCTCTTTTCCAACCTTCTTTTTTTTTGTCCTCCCAAATTCACATCTTTTCACTTTCAACTTTGACCTCGCTGCTGTGCTCTGTATTTTATTCTTTCCTTCTCTGGATTTCTCAACATCTTAATTTTTTTCCATCTTTCTTCTCCTAATTGTTTCCTTCTTTTTTCTCATCATCCTCTCCATCCCATCCTCTGATGCCCAGCAGTAAGTACCGGCCTTCATCGGAGCAGCACAATGATAATTTCTCGCTGTCCACCATCGCTGAGGGCTCCCACCCAAATGTAAGGAAACTGTGCGACACCCCTCCTAACGTCCCTCATGCCCGTGCATTGGCTTACTATGATAACATTATCTGTCAGGTAACGTGGTTCTCGCCTCTATCTCTCACCCCTTTTTCTGCATCTCCCCCAAATCCTGCCCGGGCCCTCGACTCTCCTCCAAATGCATGGGCATGAGTATTCTCCAATACTCCGAGGTGTGAAATGCTAAAAGAGGGGGATGGGAGTGGTCATAGTGCAATAAAGAATGGTGGGAGTTTTTTAAAATACTGCAGGAAATCGAAATGCAATAACAGCGAGCGGGCATCCATGCACTCTCATAATTTCTACCCTCACATTCATAGGATTTTATCTAAGAACAAATTTAATCCATTAATCAGAATATCACATGAATTAATTTTGAAGTTAAATTTGAGCCTGTTTATCACAAACAAATCACACTCTTTTTTTTCTAAAGGTTTTCCTGTTTAGTTTTTTTGTCTTTGTAATACCTCAAATTCTTATTTTAATGAACCAAGATGAAAACTCACATAACATTAGAAGCTATTTTGCATCATCTGCAAGTTTAATTTCATCCCATATATACATTTCAATTCCTGGAAGAACAAGAAAAATGCATTAAATCTCTCAATTCTTCCATTTTAAAATTTAAATTTAACACAACTTCAAGTTAAAGAGCATAAACATGTGAAAATGTGCTGTTCTGTACTATATACAGTACCCATAACAATGAAGTCATGTCCTATATTTGTAATATCTGCACAGAGAGTCAAGGACCTTTAGCAACTGTAGATCTACACACTGCATTTTCAATTATCATTTTAACACAATGAGAAAAGCTAATTTGATTGAAACTTAAAGAATACGCCTTTTTGAAACACCTCCTGTCGTGGATCGTCATGTCTACAATGTCTTTACAATGTGAAACAAGTTTCTCATTAACCAACACAAAGGTCCCGCATGTCATACAAATGCTGTTCTCAAAATCACTGACAAGCTACAAATATGTGGAATTAGATGTCTGCTGTTAGGTTATGGACTGTAATGAATCATAGAAATAAATACCCTTGAGCCCTTGCAGCCCATACCATGGCAACACAACTCTTGTAAAGGCTTATAGTTTGGTGGTGTAGTGCTTATTTATCCTATTTTGCAACATAGCATAGTTCAAGTACAATGAAAACTTGAAATAGTGAGAATGGCTGGAAATAACCTATAATTTCTTATCTTAGGCAAAGTCTAAAACAGTTCCCTAATTTATTTTGTCTGAGTAGTGTCCAAAAAACACTGATTTCCTGAAACCTGAATGTTTATGGACTGTTTTCATAATGCAGCTGCAAACTGAGCCACCGCCCTGATTACTATAAGAAAAAAAACAAAAACTCCCCTCTGTGACCCCTCCCTATCCCATCTCTTTCTGATCACCTCTTGCATCAGGATGTCATGGCATGCCTGCTCTGTCGCTAATATGCGCCACCCAGTGGCCATATCAGCCACCGCAGCTTTGCTTTGCTGCTAAGAAATCTGTACTTTTAACAAATTGTCTGCTTGACTTGTTTATCCTGAAAGTGGGCGGGGAAATGGGAGGGTTTTCTGGATTTCTGGGGGAGGAGAAATGGGGAAAGGATTCCCAGAACCAGGTAAGCTTTTAGGGGATATTTGCTGGACATGGTTGGGGTTATCAGGATAAACATCTGAGATGCAACGTCTCGCTGCTGCCTGAAGGAGGCAGCAGAGATTCGACAGGTGCCTCACTAACTGAAGCATGGGTAGCTTGTAGAGCTAACGCTAACGTTGTAGCAGCATGGGTAGTTGTAGTGCTACAACTGGTAAAGAGTTTGTTTTGTTTTCAGATTTGAAACCTTTTGAAAATGTGGTACCACCCTCTAACAACTTCGTAGGTTTTTTCGGGTTTTTTTGTTTTTTTGTTTTTACTTTATGATTCTCTTTAATATTATGCGACAGCATAGGCTAGCAGTTAGCAGTTTTTAGATGGAAAACTGTCACAACCATTCATTGTAACCACACCTAAATACCATTTACCATTTATAACCCTGAAATATCTAAAAACTCAAACCAGTAAAAAAAAAAAAACATCATCGTATTCTAACATCATCTCTTAGCTCTCCTTCCTAACTCAGGACAACCCATCAAACCCTGCAAATTACCTCTCATCCATTGGGTTGAATAGTATTTGTAAACTGTTTGCACAATTTAAGCTAAACTGTGAGATCTACAAATAATTCTGACGACTATGTATAGTACACGTTTCTGATGCAGTGTCATACATATCACTGACTTATAGCTGGTGAAAATGAACCAAGAAATGCAGGATTTTGCCAGAGAAGACAGTGAAAAAAGAAACCACAGGCTAGCAAACATGGAAATGTAAAAATGCCTTTAGGACTGTTGTGCAAATATTTTCCATCACAGTATTTGGTGAGGAGGATAATATTTATTTACAAAAATATACCTTTAAGCACAAGGCCGGGTTACGATCACCGTAGCGATGTCAGGCTTCACATATTTATCCTGCAGGTCTATTAATTTATATTTGTATTCTGAATTAAGATTTCCAGTGTTTCGAATGAACGTTTAATAAAAAAACGCTAGTGCTATTGAGAGTGAGGGTGTCCAAGGGTAAAAGAAATAAATCAGAATATATAAAATATTGCAAGTGATTATTAAATCATTTACTTATGTAACTGATTTCATTATCTAGTATCTTACAGTATCTTAAAGTTTCCAACTACTATTCAACCCAGATTAATTTTGCAACAGGTTTGCCAACCACGTACAAAACTGACCTTTCCATATGAACTTACCCAAACCAAAAACCACACGAACTCACCAGTTTTCCCCAAATAAACCCCAAATAATCCTCTAATAAAGCAAATACCCTGAATTCCCTTCCAAACTAACAGCGTAGTGTTTCTGCTATGAAGGCTGAGACCTGAACAGAAATATCCAAAACTGTACGTACTGTGGTGATACAGAGCTACAACCAGGCAGCACCAGAGTCCGCATCTGTAGCCAGCTGGGAATATCAGCTGACATCCGAGAGGAAGTCTAGTTACTCCTACTATTGGTCTCTGTCTCCAGTGCTCCATCTCTCTCTCTGTTTTATCTGTCTCTATCTCTTCCTGTCTGCCTCCCTCTTCTCCCTCTGCCTCTCTTGCCACTTAATCTCTCTGTATCACCTCTGATCTGCCGTGCCTCTCGCTACTTCTCTTTCCTTCTTTCCGCTTCACCCTCCTTCTTTCTCTGTCCGTCCTTATCTGTCTTTCTGAGGATGCCTTGTATGGTTTTTGAGGAGTATAACCCTTTGCCCCATCCCCCTCCCCTCAGAAAACCATGAGCAGATACACCTGGGAGTGTAAGACCAAAGAGGAGTCCGACTGTGAGGTAAGATCGAATCCCAAATGTTAGATAGTCCCGATCCTCTCTTCCGCCTTCCCAAACAGCTCTTTCATTGTTACTGTGGCCCTGTCAATCACCCTTTTCAACTATCAGTGAATCAATCTGAGCCTTTCCCACCCACAAAATCAATAAAAGCCAAAATAAAAAGGGATAGTAAAGTCAGAAAAACATGCTATGTTAGAGCAGAACACACAACTAAAATTAACAAAGACAGCCAATATTTAGTGTTGACCTGACAAATTTACATTTGGTAAACTTTGGGCTCCATTTAATATTCATAAGGATTAAAAGTATGGCTTTATATAATATAATTATATAACCCTTATTTTTCCAGCTTTTATGGTCCTCAGGTGTTTATTTTGGTTTTGTTTTTGTTTTTTTAAGCAGTGTTAGCATGTGTTAGCCAAATGGATGCAAACATAACTTATTTGGTAGCATTAAACTGACAGTTTTTTAAAGGGCAAAAAAAAAAGCATTTAATTTTGACTTGTGTAGGTAATTACTTTTGGCTACTCCCTTATTTCCCGAGAGGTCACCACAGTGGACAGATCAGATTGGTTCGATTTTACACCAGATGCCCTTCCTGATGCAAACCTCCCATTTATCCAGGCTTGAGACTGGCACTAGGACTCGTGGGTCACACTAACTCATGAAGGCCCTGCGAGTGTATGGCACATTTATATATATATATATATATATATTACATAAATATAACATATTTAAATTTCAAATTTGAGGGGCTCTACACTAATATTCTACTTCAAGATTTTGAAAGAAATTGCTAGCTAGCTCATGAAAATAGAGTAATGTCTTCTTTGAATGCAAAGCTTCATTTATTTTCAGTTTTTAAGACAGAAAAAAGAATATTTTAGACATGCTGGCTTTAATCTGACTATTCTTTTGTTAATCTGTCACATGAAATTTTTAGAAAGTGAGATACTAAAGTAGCGCTTTAACCTTTTTTAAGCATTTTTTTTGTAACACATAGCATTTAAATTGGTTACGTTTTTTTCTGTTTTTTATATTTAAAAATGAAAAAACAAAATTATTGCAGATGCTTTAAGCGATCTGATATAATTTAATTATTTACCATTAGGTGGTTCCTGGAGCTCATGGTTTACCCAGAGTTTTCTAGAATAGCTAAATCCCTCTAGTTCTGTTTATCACCTTGTGGTACTGTGAAATTAGAATTGAATGGAAAATCTATGGAAACCAGTAAAGAACGTTGCTCTGGAAGAAGAAAAAAATCACAACGTAAATAAAACAAGATCAGTTAACACAATGCAAAAAACAGCCAAAAGGATAGTTCCTCCAGCAATAAAGATCCAACGCCTAGAAGTTAAAAAATCCAGTCTAACAAAGGCATAAAAACAGCATCGCTGCTGCCACAAGGAGCTGCTGACCTTGTGAGGTCCTTGTCACATGTCCAGACAGCCACTGTACCACCTCCATAACACACAAAGGCGCACATGCTGAGGCTTTAATGGAAGAAGAAATACCATTCAGAAAAAGACGAATTTACAGAGAAATTGAACCCCCTTACACAATGCCATTTCTGCACAATAACACAAAAAACACTCAAAGTTTCCCGGCAGTAATAGAACGCATTGTGTTTCATTCACCGTGGTAGATTGAACCCACTTGTCCCTAATCTTCCCCTC